TTCTTCCTTTGGGGTGGGCCTTTCAGCTGTAGTGTCACCCATCCCAGGTGCCACTGCTGGGACCTTGTAGGGGGTGACCAGGAAGTAGATGTATGATGGAAGACCGAGTGTAAATTGCAGTCTTGAGGTATTTAGCCTTGAAAAAAAGAGGGCTCATTAAATGTGAGTGCTCTTGCAGTTTTTGTGTTTTTCTTTTGCTTGAAGGACAGTAGCATTTCCAGGATTCATTTGTTTCACAAACGTTACACCCAACCACGTGCCAGGCACGGGAGCATAGGAATAAATACCGTAGCCCTTGCCCTCCAGACGCTCGTGATCAGTGGGAAAGGAGAGCAGTACAGTCAGTGCTCGGGGAAAGACATCTCAGTTTGGGGGCCTCTGGGCTGGGTTGAGAGGCTTCTCTACTGTTGCATTTGCCTCCCCAAGCAGTGGACTACGCAGGGCTCCAACTTTGGCACTTTGCCGTTCTATTTCTGGGGTCTTTTTCAGAACTCAGCCAGGTCTCTTGAAGAGGTGACTTTTAAGTTTTGTTTCTCAGTCCTCTGAGATTGCACCAGCTGGGTGTCCAGTAATTCAGTTCAATTCTGACACTAACTGCCAGAGTTGGAGCAGACCCCACAAGTTGAGGGCCCAGTCCCACAAGACTCCCCCACTTCAGATGCCAGCTACAGTTGGGCTTCTCAGGCTACTCACACTTTTGCCCACCTGACTACAAGTTCAGGGGTGTCCAGTTTTGATAATTTGCTAAAAGGACACACAGAACTCAGAAAACTGCTTTGTTTATGATTACTGATTTATTGTAAAAGGAACAACTCAGGAACGGCTAAATGGAAGAGGTGCATGGGGCAGGGTGGAGGGTGGCATGGAATTGCCATGCCCTCCCCAGACACGCCACTCCTCCCAGCACGTCGGTGTTCAACCCAGAAGCTCCCCAGAGCCCATATTTCGGGGATTTTATGGAGGCTTCATTACCTAGGCATGGTTGATGTGATCACTGGCCGTTGGTGACTGGGCTCAATCTCCAGCCCTCGCATTGGTTGCTTGACCAGCCCCCATTCTGAAGCTCGATCCCACCACCTCGGGTCATCTCATCAGCATAAACTCTGGTGTGGGGAAAAGGGGCTTATTATGAATAACAAAAGACACTCCTGTCTTTGCGCAGGAAATTCCAAGGGTTTTAGGAGCTCTTCTGCCAGGAACTGGGGGTCAGAGACCAAATATGTATTTTTATAATACTACGGGGAGACAGATAGTAAACAGGTAGATATATAGTGTCAGGAGACACTGATTGCTGTGAGGGAAACTAAACAGGGTTGGGGGTTGTGGGAGACAGAGGAGTGCTCTTATATGTGGAGTGGTCAGGGACGGCCTCTGAGGAAGTGGCCTTTTCGTGGAGGCCTTAGTGATGGGAGGCAGGAGCCATGCGGATGTCTGAGAGGAGAATGTTCGCCTTCAGCAACATACCCAAAGCCCCTGAGGCGGGAGGAGCCTGATGGGTTTGGTTCTGAAAGGAAGTCACAGGACTGGACCATGTTGGGCAAGGGGAGGCCGATGTGGCGGGAAGCCTCTGATTCCGAGGAGGTCCGTCTCTGCTCCCTTGTGACCCTCTGTGGGGTTTTCTCGAACTCTTCCTCTACGTCCAGTCATTAAGTTTAGATAATTATTCCCCACACTGTGAGTCTCTTGCCTTTTCTTCTTCCTCTTTTTTTGATAGTGGCAGAAACCCTCAAGAATCCAAAAGCTAAAAATTACCTTGCCAGAAAAATACATAAAAATGTACAGATGTATTTTGTATACAGTTTCCTGAATTTTGTGGATTCCTGATTTATTTAGTGCTTTGCACAGCCACCCTCGTCTGTGGAAAACCACTGAGGTTCTGCGAGTCGCAGTTGCGAGAATACAGTGATGCTCCCTCCGTGAAGCCGCAGGCCCAGCGCAGCTCACACTGCTCTTAGCGCCCTTCCCTAGGACGGCCCGGCATGTCAGTGTGCACCGCCCCAAGGCTCCTTCCAGCTCTCTGCAGGAGCTTCCCTCCTCTTTGCTCACACACTTCCTTCCAGGTGCCTCCTCAGTGCCTCCCCTTAGCTCGTGACACTTCCTGACCCGTCAGCTTGGCTTTCCCTCTCACGGTGTGCTGTGTGCTCATTTTGGGTGTGTTTTTCTCCGCAACCCACTTTCTGTGCAGTCCTCAGAGAAGGTACAGGGAATCTCACCTGTCGACAGTGCAGAGTCGATGGTTCAATACTCTTAACAGTTGGCACATCCTTTGGAACCGCAGATACATTCCTCTGGTCCTTCAGTGCTGGATCCAGGGTTTAATGCACTTTGACCTACAGTAGATCAGTGATATGACTCAAATGTGGGTGTTTTCATACTTGCCCTTAGTCCTGAGAAGAGGGCTGTCTCGTTTGAGAGCAAGGTGTGTAAGATCAGAAATTCAGGTTTTGTTTTCTGATTACATTCCTCTCCCACCCCCATCCCTTTTTGGCCTGATCAGCATCCACCCTCCTCATCTTTGGAAGTTGCCCCAGAAGCATCCCAGAGCACCCCAGAAGAGGAGGTCACAGGAAGCGCAGGTGGAGCGTCGGAGGTTGTCGTGGAGAAGGAGGAGGAGGAGTGTGGTCCTTGCAGCGCCGACTCAGAAATGCAGCAGATCCTCGCGCGGGTCCGCCAGAACTTCGGCAAAATCAACGTCGTGCCTAAGTTTTCTGAGGATGACCTGGTTCCTCTGGAGATGTCCGACATCGATGAAGAGCTTGAGAGCCTCTCTGCAGAGAGGGAGGAGGAGGAGGAGGAACCGGAGCTCCAAGGAGACGACGAGGAAGAGTCTTATGCAGAGTCCCAGGAAGAACACTCAGGAAACGACACCAAGGCCGTTATTCAAGCCCTGGATGAGAAGATCGCTAAGTACCAGAGATTTTTAAACAAAGCCAAGGCTAAGAAGTTTTCAGCAGTCAGGTAGCATTCTCGTCTTCTCACGAATTGCAGTGTGCTCGTCCCTTTCCCAGAACCTGCTGCGAGGGTTGGAGCAGTGTTTTGATAGGGGGAGGGAGGGTATTGCCGTTTCTAAAAAGTGATCTGTACATTTTTAAAATCCAGCCAGTTTTAAGTATGAGGGGCTTAGTAGTTGGGTCTTTTACAGACGTCCATGGGGGTGCAGAAATGGTGTTGCTCCTACCAGTGGCATTAACTGCGTGAAGAGGAGTCTGGGTTTCTTTAATCTGCGAGCTTGTCACGGCCTCCCCGTTGGCATGAGATGTGGGCGGTGGCGGGGAGTGTCGGCCAGCTTCTTTGCTCTTTGGTTTCAGGATAGCCAAGGGCCTAAGTGAAAAGGTTTTTGCAAAACCCGAAGAACAGAGAAGAACAGCTGAAGAAGATGTAGGAGATACAGGTAAAGTTGAATTATTTAAGTCATGTAGATGTGATTTGCATATTTAGAACTTTGGGAAATCTAAGTTTAATCTCCAGATTTTCTCTTATACTGTCATCCACACATATTTAATCTGGCAGATTATCCTGGTTTCACATACTGTTTATCACATGGATTAGTTTATCTGCTTTTTTATTCTGCACATTCCATGGGATTAAGTTGGTAATTCAGGGAGCTTCCTCTAAAAAGAATACATTATTAAAAATACCTTGTGATCTAGGGGTGAGTCTGAAGATAAATTTTTTTCTGGGGTTGGGGAGTGGATGATTTGTCTGTTTATCCTTAACGTGGTTGGACTGGTGATTTCTATTATCAAGAGTGTGTTTTCCTGACACAAATGCAGAGCCTGCCAAGGCCGGTGAGGTCCCCCGGGTCTGGCAGCTCCCAGCCTTGTCCTGCTTTAACTCCGCTTTGCTCTCTGCACTCCAGTCACACCAGCGTTCTGTCTTCTCCTGCAACATGTTCCCACCTTAGGATTCATACACATACTTCAAATAAGAGAATTCCTGTTTCTGTTCTCTGTGTGTTTGTGTATGGTTTCCAGCACCTACCAAAAAGGGAAGGAAGAGGAAGGCACAGAGGGAAGAGGAGCATTCGAATAAGGCTCGCAGGACGCTTACATCCAAGGAAGTACGTGTTTTGGTCTTAAGTATCACCTGGGCGTGAAGCAGTGGGGGAGTCTATCTCTTCAGACCCACTCTTTCCAAAACGAATGGTCTAGAGTTGAAATCAAGGAACCCCAGTCCGAAGTGACCTGGTTGAGGTCAGATAAATAGGATCAGGAGCTGGCCCACTGGACGAAGGTCCTTGAGTTTGTGTCTGACATTTTAGGAGTTCCTGATCGCTGTCCTCAAACATGTGGGCCAGCATTTGGAAGAGTCCACTGGGCTTATGTGGCCCCAGGGAAATGACACACGATGAGCAGAGCTGTGCAGGTGGATGGATCGCTGCCTTCTGTGACTTTCTGCTTTGTTGCTGGGCTCTCCAGAGCTGGCGCGGGCCCCTTTGGGAGGTGAAGAGCTTGTTATCAGAGTGGTCAGCCTTCGATGTCAGGAGTGCAGGAGAAAGGAGGCATTGGATGAGGGTCGGACTGAATGCCAGTCTGGGTTAGAGTTGTTGCAAGTTACAGGGCAGCGGGGACTTGGGTCTGAGGGGGCCCCTCCCTCCTTGTCGGCACTGCTTCCGGTAGTCGTGGGAGCTGCGTGGGAATGAAGCACCGAGGGACCTGTTTTGTGACTCACTGGTGTTTCTGCCTTTCGTGTGTGTGTGTGTGTGCGTGTGCCCCATTTTTACAGCGGAGGCGAGCAGCGCGGCAGCAGCAATCCAGAAAAGTCGGCGTGCGCTACTATGAAACACACAATGTGAAAAACAGGAACAGGAACAGAAAGAAGACCAATGACTCAGAGGGGCAGAAACACAGACACAAGAAGTTCAAACATAAGCAGTAACATTTTAAAAGTTGTTTATTAAATTATGCAAAAATATGCCATTAGAAACTGTGTTCATTTTCCTCATGCTCAGTTGGTGTTTCTAAGGTCGTAATGCATTTGTTCTGAGGTCTGTTAGTTAAAATTCACCAGTGCTAGTGACAATAAAGATGAGGCCCTCACGCCCCAGGGTCTCAGTGATGGGGTCCACGGAACTTCTGATGCTTGGATTAGCCCTCTGAGTTCCTCAGGAGTATCAGCCTGCCGTGTGGATGTCTGACGGAAACAGGGATGCGGTCTAGAAGATGCGGAGTGTGGTATTTCTCTTGTACTGGCAATGAGCAATTTGGAACAGCAGCTCTTTGGATTAGAACTTTAAAAAGAATTCCAAGGATGTCGTGTACATAGCCTAGGCTTTAAAATATGAAGAAAAAGCTACAGTAAATTCTGTTGTCCTTCATTGAATCTGTTAGGGGGACCCAGTTAGGACACCAGTGCTGTATTGTCAGGGAGTCTTGGAACTAGCACATCTCGATGGGTAAGAATTCTTTCCTGTGAAAATGACAGCACGGACATGCTGTGTTAGTGGAATCTTGGCATCAGTTCCTCAGGACACCTGGAGAAGGGTAAAAGCTGTGACTTCAAGCTTGAGATTAGAGTTTGGGGGGCATGCTCGAAGACTCAGTGGAACACAGCTCTTCTGGGCAGACTGCGGTCCTTCCACTGAGCCTTCAAGCCCCAACCAGGACGGCATCAGGTCAGAGCACCTCTTCAGGGAAACACGGAGCACTCGAGGCCTTCCAGCCGAGGGGAGGGGTTAGTGCCTTCTGAGGTACGCTACTGGTAGAATCCGACTGAATGATGGAACTCGCTCAGCTTGCTGGTCTGCCCTGAATCGAAGATTCATGTGCTAAGCTAGTCTTCTGGGACCCCGAAACCAGAGGAGTCCTGAGCCTCCAAACTTTGAGTCTAGCGTATGGGGAATAGTCAAGTGTAGTCGTCTCCCTGCCCTGGTCCTGTTGTTAACACGTTGAACTGCGGGTGAGGCTTGGGCTCATCAGAGGGGGTGTAGGGTAGCGGGGTTGGATTTTCTGCAGCGTAGGGTCGGGGAGGAGCCGAGGTCCAGGCTACTCACAGCGGACACTGACTTGTTTCTTTCCAGCAAACGTTTTCTCAAAAGCTACAGGTTTGAGTCCCTGCCATTGCCTCCTCACCCTGGCAGTCCGAAACTAAGGAGGAAGGTGTCTAGTGACTTGGCAGGAGGGGATAAGATGATACGGTATAAACCCCAAACTCCAAAAGGAGGTACTAGAATTGAATTGCAGTGGGGATGATGAAAAGACATCAAATAAAGGAAAGATGGAGGCCAGAGAAGCCCCAGTTAAGGAACAAGATGTGGACCAGAAGTGGGGGGGTGAGGGGGCGGGGTACAGAGAAGCAGCTTCATTTGGCTGGAAATAAGGGATGGTATGGAGCGTTGAGGATGAGAAAGCGGCTGCTCCACTTGAGCGGCTACTGCAGAAGGACTGAATTCTAAGTCTCACTGTTGAGCTGGCAAATCCCAAGGTTGGCCGCATCCCGAGACGACCTGGGCTACTCTGCCTTCCATCGTCCGGCCAGGAGCCTGGCTGCCAGACCTTAGATGTTTCATGACTTGGGGCAGTGGTGTGACTTCTGACAAATATGTAGGTGGTGATCAGGGGGAGGGTACGGCTTCTTCACTCAGGAAACTAGCTTTTTATTACAAAGGGCTTATGACGGGATAGTAGTGCTTGCTGAGACCCAGATGGAAATTATCACTTCTTTGGTGCAATAATCCCTTCCAGTTGGGCCTGAAAAACAAAAACAAACTCCATTAGTATTGGAAACTTGCAGCCTAACACAAATAGCTGAGAGGTGATAAAAGTCTCTGGGAAGAATAATCCAAATGCTGCCACTCTAAGTGTTTCTTCCCTTCGTTCCCAACTCCGTATTTTCCAGATTAGCTGGTTTCTGGCTTGGCTTGCAGTCTTGCTGCATTAGGAGAAATGGGAGCTGTCCCGGTTTCCATACAATAGCTGCTCAGTGTATAATACAAGGCATTGAAAGGGAAATTGAATAAAAGTTGTTGAAATAGTTGTTTTTCATGGCTCAGATTTCAGGCCTGACTATGTCTGCTAAGTTAAACATTGGGCTGTCTGGTTTGAGAGCCTGGGATCTTTGTGCTGGGACAAGAGGTTTAGGAAACAGCAAATTTTCGGCCACTGAGACAACTTGACACCCAATTAGAGAAAATTGCTACCAGTGAGTAGTGAGCTGTCCATCTTGTATGTAAAGCTTCAGACACTTGGGAGTTATTTACTCTGCTCTTCTGGCAGCCAGTAAAATAATTCACTATCATGATGTGTGGACAGATCTTTAAGTAGGTCTATCCTGGGGACTGCAAACACTGCTTTATTTGCAATGCAGCTTTGAGCTAATAAAAATAACTCACTTCTAAAGAGTCCTTCACCCTCGGGATTACAAGGTTGCTTGTAAACGTTAGAGATGCCAAGGTATTCGGCTTTGCTCTCGCCGCCAACACCATAGGAGGAGCTGGGGGACTTGGGCTTGGGATAAAACAGTATGGCAGATAAGGGAGGCAGCTCCAGAGACCACTAAGTAAACATTCACATTTGGCTGTGAAAGTGTCTTTGTTTTGTTAAACTCAGCAACAAAATCTGCATCATCCACCACTAGCAGTTAACACAAGCCCTACTTTATCTCAAACGCCTGGCCTTCTTGGCTTGTAGCACCAACAAGCCTGCCAGTCTCAAGAATGTAAGCTTTCTATGAGACCAGGGAGGAGAGGGAGATACACCCAGGGGCCCCTTCTGGCCAGGGCCACGGAAGACAGCCACTCCATGTCAATAGGCCATATGTCTAGAACAGAGGTTCTCGCACTTCAGCAAGCATCAGAATCACCTGGAGACCTTGTTAGACTGGCTTGCTGGACTCCAACTGCAGTTTCTGATTCAGTAGGTCTGGGGTGGCGCAGTAATTTGTATTTCTAAAAGTTGCTGGGTGGTGAAGTTGATCCTGGTCTGGGGCCCTACCTTTAATAACCTTTGGACCAGACAGAGAGCCTGGAATTTCAGAGGCCTGGCCCTGCTGCCTGTCCTTTTCACTAGCTTCCCCCTTCTGCCTCAGCTCAGTCAGATAAACATATGCCACTGGCAGAGAGGCTTTGGTGAAAAAGCCTGCAGCTGAGTTCCTCTGACCACACACCTGGGGAAGGTCCCTGATTTGAAGTGGTTCTTTTGTCCCTTAGGGCCTTCCCTGCCCACCCCAGATGCAGTGCCTCGGTGGGAAGTACAGGTGGGAAAGCACTTCCCTGGAAGCCCGCTGGAGGGCCCCAGGCCACTCTGAGAAGGCTCCACAGCACCAGCTGCTGTGGGCAAGACGGTCTGCTTTGTGCTATACCTGCCTTTCCTGGACAATAGACAGCTTTTATCCAAGACGGGGAAATCCTCCACTGGAGAGCCAGGCCGAGATGTTATGGGGGTTCAGAGTTGAGAAAAGAGCCCCCCTCAGAGCCAGTTGGATGGAGAATCCTGGTAATGATCCCTCACTTCCTCCCACTCCCCAGGTCAGCTTCCTTTACCCCTTGGAGCACGCATGGCAAGTACTGAAAGGCATCGCAGGAGAGGGAACTGAGTGCTTGGCCTGCTGGGCTGGTGAGGCGAGGGTGCGGAAGCGCCCCAGGCCTGCGCATCCATTACCTTCAGCTGCTGATTCGTCCGCTTTAGGAACTGAATCTCCTCGTTGTGCTTCTTCTCCTCCACCTGCCTCCTCTCGCTCTCCCGCTTCTCCGTGGCCTCGCATTTTGCCTTCTGCTCGTTCACTTGCCTCTCCAGATCTCGCTTTTCCGATTCTAATTCTGCAATCTGAGGACAGAACCCCAGTCATCCTGGGATGTCGCCAAGTGAGTGTCGGGGTGCGGGGGGACTTGGGACACAGCTGTCCAATCGGAGGCATTGCCGGGGCTGTGCTGCCACCCAGTGGGAGGTCAGTGACTGGCAGGGCACGTCCAACAGGAGACGACTCTGCCGTGATCCGGATGACTGTGACACTGTGCACTAAGGGGTCCTCACTGATGGGAGAGCCCCCAGGGGGGGCAGAATTTGGTGCTGGATTGACCACATGTGGCCCTGGGATGCACAGAAGAGTCGCAGAGGCCAAAGGCTCCTGGGGAACCGACTCACTTTCCTCTCCATGTCTGACTTCCCCTGTTCGGCCTGCAGCGCCTTCCTCATGCCAAACGCCACGCTGCTCTCATACAGGGTCTGGTAGGCGGCGATGGTCATGCGGATCTCGTCCCGGACACGCAGCAACAGCAGCCCTCGCTCCGCACAGTTAATGGTGACCTCACGGATCAGCTCATCTTCCAAGGCACACACACAGCGAGGTCACAGAAGGCAGGTGGGAGGGGAAAAGTCTACTGCAAACCACACACTCTGGTGTGTGTCCTCCTCAATGGGAGAGGCCTCAGGGAGGGGACTTCAGTGGCCCCCGAGGCCTTGCCATGTGGCCACTGCTCTGAACTTGGCACTTGAGGGTACAGGCCATCAGCAAGCCCCGTTTGGCCGGCACAATGGGAGACGAGCCCAGGCTTGTTTGCAGCCATGGGACTCCTCTTCCACCATCAGGCAGAAACTGGGTGCTATTCAAAGAAATCTGACTTTTCAATTTGAAGATGGTGGCTGTTTTAAAGCAGCTGGGAAATCCGATGGGCCCCCTTGGCTGGACTGCTTTGGGGCTGGAAACAGGGTCTAGGGCTTGCCCACCCATCTCCATAAATGCTGACTTGGAGGGCAAACCACACTCAGACCAGAATCACACTTGGACAGAAGAGAGCCCGCAAGCCCCCTGCAGCTGCCTCAGGGTTTGGACGTGCTTTGCATTTCCAAGTACCCCGTGGGCCAGTGAGACTGGACTGAGGGCCCGCCCTCTGACACCGGCACCCGAGGAGGGAGATCTCAAATCCCTGTGTCTGTTGGTTAGCAACAAATTACCCTGCGATATTTTTCTAGACCAAGGGCTGAATGTTGAAGGACGAATATAAATACAGAACATTAACTTTTTCTGATTAAAAAACTAACACGTGCTTGTTACAGAAAACTTTGGTAAAAACAAAGATTTAAAATGGAAGTTCTTACTCCAAACAGCTGCTCAGGGATGAAGAACCCGGTTGTCAGGAACACGGTAACTGGTAGGGAAGGCGGGCTGGGAGGGGGAAGAGGGTGCAGTTAGCAGTTCCTGGGTAGGGCAGGGGGGGGCGACAGACATTCCAGGATGGGGTTTCAGCTCCAGGGACTCCGGGCCTGGTTCCATGCTAGGGGAAGGGAAGGCGTACCCTCCCCTGCAGATGGCTCACCAAAACACTGTGAATACAGCTCCCGGCGCACAGGGCAGATGCCGGTCTCCCGGGCCTGGCGCTGCTGCAGCTTCAGGTCCAGCTGCTCCTGGAGGTGCACCACGTCCATCCTGGTGCTGGGGTTGCTGGACACCTGCTGGATCCATAGCTGCGTGTCCTCCACCCACTCCCTGCAGCACAGACACAGCCAGGCTGAGCCAACCCCATTCACCAGAGAGGGTCCTTGGGCCATGAGCAGAGATGGCCATTGGTGTTCTCTGCCTGCCAGGAGTGAGGGGCAGCTCTGTCCTCGACCCACCAGAATCCTCCATCTCTCTCTCTCTCTTCCTTGAGGAGTGTGCAGCTCCAAAGCCACACCCACTGTGCACCCTCCACAGGGCCCTTACCTTGGGGCTGGGCAATACCTTGGGGCTGGGCAATCTTCACCTTCCCACTATCCTCCATGAAGTTATCACCCCTGGCCCAGATCTTATGCTCCTAACACTCTGAGGACAGATTTATGGTGGTTGTTGCTTAATCTGAACAAGGGTCCAATGGGAGTTTCCACTGACTTGAGGGGTGGGAGACACAGGGGACCATGACCCTTGTGCCGGCCAAAAAGAGATGAACATATGTATTGGGAGGATGTACGTATAGGGGCCCTCCATATGTGTCAGAGACATAGCCAGTTTTTGGAATCATGAGGGGGAGGCTGAGGGCAGAACCGCCACGAGGGAGAGGATTCCATGCGTAGCTGAGAGGGAATCAAGTGAAAAATCACCCTCCCCTCCATCTCAGAGGAGACTGTGGTCTGTCTTTTACTGTTTCCCCTTTCCATCATAACTTAAAGACTGCTGTCAACTTAGTATATAAAAAATAGTTGAAAGGCATGTCAGATGGTGATCAATGTGGCTGCAGAAGAAAGGAGCATGGTGAGGGGATGGTGAAGAAGGGGGCTCTCCTTTTGTAAAGGAATCTGAAGGAAAGCCTGCCTCCTCACGGCAATGATATTTGAGCAAGATCTGAATGAAGAAACAAGGAAACCAGGTGGATATGGGGGAAGAGGATCATGGGCAGTGAGGTCCTAAGGCAGGGGGAAAGTCACTGAAGTGTTTCAGAAACAGCAAGCAGAGGCCCCCGTGGCATTAGCACTGTGAACAAGGAAGAGAATAACAGGACATGAAATCATGGATACATCAAGGGCCAGATCATGCCCGGTCTTCCGGGTCACTGTAAGGACTCTGGATTTTCATCTGAGAAAGATGGGGAGCCACTAAAGATTTTCTGGCTGAAGACTGCCATGATCTGACTTATGATATCAGGGCTGTGTGGGGATGGATTATAGGAGCAAAGAGGGGAAGTAGAGTTTTCAGGTAGGAGGCTGTTGCAGTAGTGCGGGTGACAGTGATGGGAACAAGATAATGGAAGCAGAGTGAAAAGTGGTCAGATCTGGAAAATAATTTGAAGGTAGAGCCAAAAGAATCCGATGAAGAATAGGACACATGATGTGAGAGACAAAAGGGAATGAAAGGTGGCCTGAACCCCTAGTGGAAAGGAGCAGACCGAGGATGAGCTGGTTAGGGGAAGGAAGAAATTATGATTTAGTTTGGACATGCTGAGTTTGAGACGTCTGTTAGACATCTTCATGAAGGTAATAAGGAAGGAGCAGAATATATACATCTGGAGTTTAAGGGAGAGAACAGGGCTGGAAATAGACAGGAGGGAGCCATCAGCATATAGATGGTATTTAAAGCCACAGGCCTAGTGAGAGCACTCAGGAAACAATGGTAGATAGGGATCATCACCCCACACCCTCCCAGGATCCAGCCACCTGCAAGTTCAAGGAACTCTGGACTGCTGGGAGGAAATCCCAGCCAGAAACAGAGACAGGATACCTCCTCTCACACTCCCAAGTCCTGGGATGAGAGGCCTGGGCTTCCTCCCAGCCACTGCTCCTATTTTCTTACCTTGGGGGCAGGATGGCATTCAAGATTTCTTCTGCCTGCTTTGTAGGATCTGGGACACAGGAAGTTGAGGGGAGCTTGGTCTTTGGTGGCTGTGGGACAGGACCTGAGGGTCCAGGCTGCTGGGGGCTGACTTTCAGTGGCCGTGCCTGTGAATTTAGGGCAGGAGATGATTCAGACACTCAATTCCATGCATCCTGGCCCTCTGGGTTGCTCCAGATCTCCGGCACAACTCTCCCCTATTCCCAGATCACTTTCCCTCATCTGTCTTCTCAGCAGAAGTTATGTTTCAGAGGTGAAGTAAGCCATGTAGTCTCTTGTCCTACCCCAACCCAATGCTTGTAGCTCCTTGAACAGATATTTCTGGCACAGTTGCTCAGGCCTCTGCTTTCACACGTCTAGTGATGGGGCAATCACTGCCCAATCCATTCTTGGACCCTGCTACCCTGATAAAGGGTGAGCCCCAACCATCTCCCTGTGACTATCTTCCCCACCCGAAATCTGCCCTTTGGGGTCACCTAACATTTGGGCTACTTGTACAGCTCTCCCAACCTCCTTCCCCAGTCCTATTTCCTTTACTCCCAGTCGCTACAGCCTCTGTTCCTCGGGACTCCTGATCCTCAAGGCAAGGATCTGCCTTTCCCATGGAAGATTTCTGCTCCCCCACCCTCTGAGACCCGTCCTTACTTTGGGGCTCCGTTTCTCCGTGTTCCGGCTCACCAATACCGGGGTGTCATACTTGAGCAGAGAGTCTGCAGGGGGGATCATGGCGGCGGCCGGGGTAGTAGCCCAGCAGTGGCCCTCCAGCCAAGGCCTTGTTTTTTGTCACCATGGAAACCTTCTCTCAACCCTCATGGCCTGGGCGGGGCTTCGGAATGGGGCGGGGCCAGCAGCGCGCGAGTTCCTCTCTGCGCGGCTTTCCCGGAAAGTTCTCCCGTGTTAATCTTGTCAGGCCGCCAGCTCACCCGTCTCCTCGGTACTCTCGGAAGCAGGGGAAACAAGGATTCTGAATCCCTGCGCTACGTTTTTGCTCGCGATTTGAATAAGGTGCAGATCACCTTCGCTGACCCTCGGTTTTGTCACCTGCAAAATCTGACTCCTCAGTGATGAGTGGGGACGATTCCCAGAGGAAGGCATCTAAAGTTCCCAGGTTTTAAAAAGTATGTTTTTAATTAAATGGAGAAATGGCACATAACAGAAAGTGTAGGAACAGAGGGGAAATACTAATGATTTGCCCATGGGCTACCATCTATGATTGCATTTTCTTTTCTTCCTTTTTCCTTCGTATTTCCAAGCGTAAATGTAATCACAATCTGCGCACAATTTTATATCCTCCTTCGGTTTAACAAGCCAGGGTTTTTTTCCATTTGTCATAGAGAGTTTATAAATAGCATTGCGAAAGGCTGCATAACATCTTTCCTACTGCTAGGAGTGTGGGCTGTCCCTGTGTTTAGTAATGACTAATAACGCGGCACCAAACAATACTGAGAGTAACTTTTCCCCGAAAGTTTGCTTTGGAGGAAACTTTAAAGTCCCGCCACCCGAGTCGGGTGACTAAGGTCCCGCCCACTCCGGCATCGTATCGCGTTATCTCCGCCGCGAGGGTTTCTGGGAGAGCGCGCACCCGGAAGCGGAAGTCCAAGGGTCAAGTCCGTCATTTCCTTCAGGGAGAGGAGTGCAACGGACTTGTTTTTACTTGGCTCCGTGAATCTCAGCATGAAGGAGGTGAAGACTGAGCGGGAGCGGGGGAGTCGGCGAAGGCACCGGGACGAGGACATGGTGGCGCCGGCTGCGGCGGTGGTGGTGAAGCAGGAGCGCCTCAGCCCGGAATCCGCGCCTCCCGTCCACCGCCGCCCGGACTCCTCCGGCGGTAGCCCATCCCCGCCGGCTGGCGAGTCGGGCCGCCCCGGTCACCGCGGGAACCGAGCCCGAGGAGGTAGCCGGTAAGTGGGAAGCAGCCCGGGGTGGACCTTAGGTCGGCCTCATTGAGAAAGGAGGACGCGGCAACTTGGGCTTCATTCTAAAGCGATGGAAGTGACCGGTCGTGCTTGTGTTAAAGAACGTTTACTCCGGTACCTGTCATTGCGTTATAGTTGGGCGTTAAGCGCCTCATGCCTGATGGGCAGCATCTCGACCCTGCATTTCTGTGTGCCCAGCATTTGGCTGAGTATGGCCCGGTCGATAGCCCTGATAATTTAAGTTGAAAGATTTTTCCCATCTGCCTGCAGATGGAGTGCGGGCGTTATGTTTTAAGTTACCTGCGCAGAAAAGTTTACACATCGAGGGCCTAGGCGATCTAGCTATAGATACTCTAAGGGGGAAAAAGTTGTCTCTTGTTAGACTCGTCCCTTTATTCATTCATTCATTCAACATAGTTTTACTTAGTACCCATTATGTGCTAAAGATTGCTCTGGGTATTGGGGCTGCAAGGGTGAACATGATAGATGGTCTCTGCTGTGGCGACATTGACGTTCTCTGGCCCTGGGACGAAATAGCAAACAAATAAACAAAACAGTTCCAGTTAGTAACAAGTCTTAGGGATAGGTTAAAACAGTAATGTAATGGTGAGAGAGCAAGGGAAGTGGTTCTCCTGAACCACTCTGAAAAGTCAGCCATCTGTGCTGAGACCTAAATGATAAGAACAGTCCAGCCTTGTAAAGATCTAGGCAGAGGAAACAGCCCATGCAAAGAACCTGAAGAAATTAATTGTGATCCTCCTAGAAATAGGGGTGGAAGTGGAAGTCCAGTTATCCAGTGATCAAAGGAGAGTGGTCGAAATGAGGCAGGAGAGGGAGGATGGGACTAGAGGACTTGCTGATTGATTGAGTGATTGTGTGGATGGAGTTGTGTGGAGGGGCTGTTGCTGGTGAGGGAAAAAAAAGAATCAAGAGTGACTTCTAGGTTTTTGGCTTGAGGAACAGGGTAGATGGTGATGCCGATTACCTAGATGGTAAAGACAGAAAAAGTTTTTTGAGGGTTGGGACTCTAGAGTTATGTTATCTGACAAATTGCAGTAGGCAGTTATATTAAAGTGAGAAGTTTCAGGAGGGAGTTATATATCGGGGAGACATTAGGGCTAGAAAAGTGAAGCTCCCGATTCTAGTATGATCAGCAGACACCTTCACAAATATGGTGTTTGTATTAGTACGTAAGCCTGATACTTGAAGCTAATTTATATGAGGGAATGAAAATTTAGATAACATCTGTGTGTACCATTCTCTGAATAGGTCCCCAGCCAAAAAGAAAAACAAGTCCTCAGGGAGAAGAAGTAAGTCTCCCCGGAGTAAAAGAAGCCGAAGTCCTCACCACTCAACAGTCAAAGTAAAACAGGTGAGTGGGTTGAGATGTTGTCATACTGGCTGCAAATCGAGAGCCTCTCCCATCATAGCTGAAGAGTGTTGTGTATGTGTACATCTGTACTTGCAACGAACTTTTCTAAAAACTGGGCTGTTTTTTTACCCCTGCTTGTTTTGTTAAAGTAAACCTTTTACTTTGAGATAACTGTTCATTCACATGCAGTTATAAGAAATAATATAGAAGTAGCTGTTTCTCCCAATGGTAATATCTTACTGAATTACAGAACAATGTCATAACCAAAATACTGATATCAGTACAGTCAAGATACAAAACATTTACAGTCACCAAAAAGGATTATCCTGTAATCCTTTTATAGTCATGCCCACTTCCGTCCCATCCCTACCCCTCAACTCCCAATGTTGTCATTTCAAGAACGTTATGTAATGGAATCATATAGTATGAAGCCTTTAGAGATTGGTTTTTTTCTCTCCACAGAATTCTTTGGAGCTTCATTCAGGTTGTTTCATCTCTCTGTTTATTGCTAAGTGGTATTCAAAGGTATGGATTTAACCATTTGCCCATTAAAGAACATCTGGTTATTTCCAGTTTTTGGCTATTAAGACATGGGCTGCTATATAAATATTTGTGTGTAGGTTTTTATGTGAACATGTTTTCATTTCTCTGGGACAAATGCCCGAAAGTATAATTGCCAGATGGTATGGGAGTTGCATGTTTAATTTTGTTAAGAAATTGCCAAACTTTTCCTGAGTGCTGTGTTAGTTTGCTAGGTTTTCCGTAACAAAATACCACAGACTGTCTGCCCCAGGCAACAGAAGCTATAATTTTCACACCGTTCTAGAGGTGAGAAGAGCAGTTCAGTTTCTCCTGAGGCCTCTCTCCTTGGCTTGTGAATAGCTATCTTCTTGGCTGTGTCCTCATAGCCTTCCATCTGTGCACTCATATCCCTGGCTCAGGCCTCTTCCTTTAACAACATCAGCCATATTGGATTAGGGTCTCACTCATTTGAATTCAATCAGTTCTTTAAAGACCTTATCTCCAAAAAATGTGGTTACATTCTGAAGTGTGGGGTTTGGGGCTTCAGCATATAAATTTGGAGAGGGCACGATTCAGTCCATACCAGTGGCTCTGCCATTTTACATTTTCACTTGTAATGTGTGAGCGATCCAGTTTCTCTTCATCCTCACCAGCACTTGGTATTGGCACCATTTTTTTAATTTTAGCCATTCTGATAGGTGTGTAGTGCTATGTCATTGTGATTTTAATTTGCATTTCCCTGATAACTGATGATGTTGAACATCTCTTCATGTGCTTATTTGCCATCTGTATTTTCTCTCAGATGAAATGGCCTTTCAGGTCTTTTGCCTATTTTTTAATTGGATTATTTGGGGATTTTTTTACTATTGAGTATTAAGAGGTTGTTTTGTTTTTTTTTAATATTCTTAGATACTAGGCCTTTTTTGGTAAGTGATTTGCCTAATAATTTCTTCCATTCTGTATCTTGTCTTTTCATTCTCTTAACAAGGTTTTTCTCAGAAAAGAAGTTTTTAATTTAGGTGGAGTCCAGCTTGTCCATTTTTCGTTTTTTAGGTTATGTTTTTGGTTTCATGTCCAAGAACTTTTTCCCTGGCCTTAGATCCCGAAGATATGTTTTTTCCTTAAAGTTTTTCATGTATGTCCATGATCTGTTTAGGGTTTGTTTTACTATTAGGTGTGAGCCTTAGAGTGAGGTTCATTGTTTTGCCTGTGAATGTCCACTTGCTCCAGCACCATTTATTGAAAAAACTCTTTCCTTCAATTGCTATTGCTCCTTTGTCAAAAATCAGTTGGGCATGTGTGTGCATTTATTTCTGGGTTCTCTGTTCTGTTCCACTGATCTGTCACTCTGCCAGTGCCCCAATCTTGATTACTGTAGCTGTATAATGCCTTAAAATCAAATAGACTGATTCTTTCACTTTTTAAAAGTTGTTTTAGTGAGTCTGTTTCCTCTGCCTTTCCATACAAATTTTAGAATAATCTTATTTATATCTATAAAAGAATCTTGCTAGGATTTGATTGGAATTGTGTTAAACTTGCATTCTGGAGAGTATTGGCTCTTTAAAAAATTCTTAATATTATTATATTGAGGTTTCTAACCCATGAACACTACGTGTGTCTCCATTTATTTAGATCTTCGATTTCTTTCATCAGCGTTTGTAGTGTTCAGCATACAACTGTTATATGTGCTTTGTTAGATTTACAGCTAAGTACTTTTTTGAGTGATTGTAAGTGATATTTTAAATTTCAGTGTCTGCTTACTCACTGCTAGTATATTGAAATGTAATTAATTTTTGTATGTTTGTCTTATATCCTGTGACTTTACCAAACTCAATCATTTATCTTAGGAGCTTTTTTTGTAGAGTACTTGGGAATTTTTGCATTGACAATCATATCTGCAAATAGGGACGATTTTATTTCTTCCTTTGTAATCTGTATGCATTTTATTTCCTTTCTTGGTGCACTGGCTAAGACTTCCAGCACTATGTGGATACAGATACATTTTTTTGT